TGAACGAAACTCGATAATTACTAGTTGTACTTTATCACAAGAACCGGTTTTTTGTTACGTGGGATTAGGTCATCCACAACGGGCCACATCCTTCAGATTTGACCTTTTTTTTCTATTATTTTGGCGACCGTTTTAGCAGGATTAGCGGAGTTGACTCGTTTGTCAAAAAAAAAAAAAAAAGCAAGTTGCTTATACCTCGACCCTCCCCCCCCCCCCCCCAAAAAAAAAAAAAAAACTACGACAGAACGACAAAAACTCACCATTGTCTTCCAGGAAGCTCCCGTAGTAGTTTTCGGCCTTGGTGAAATACGGAAGCACGGACCGGTAGTCCCAGCCCGCGTTCCCGAGGGAGGCCCAGTGGTCGAAGTCGCGCCGGTTGCCTCTCACGTACATGAGGCCGTTGATGGACGAGGAACCGCCCACCACGCGCCCCTGGGTGATGCGCGCCATCTGTGGGCGGCGAGGGCGGTTTTTGTCGGTTCGTATGGCGGGGCGGCGGGAAAAGTGTCAAGTTAATGGGAAAGGCTAGATCAGGAGCAACTCGAGGAGGTGTCATGGCGTCTGATTCTATTTTTGGAAATAAAAGCACATGGGGTTCATTTTGATGACGTCACAATAGTTACGGATGCGTTGTGAGTATGGTCGATCATTTTGGTCTTTTCAATTTTCAAAAAGGATGGAAAATAATGATTCTAATGGTTATATTTACACTGAACAATCGTCAAAACAGACGCCATGACACCTCCTCGAGTTGCTACTGACCTGGCTTTCCCTGTACGTTAATGCGAGCAGTTTATTTGCGTGTGAGGTAGAGGTGAACGCTCCAGATGTACATACATACATACGTACGTGTATGGTTGTGTTGGTGTACGCGCGTGCACAGAAAAAAAAAGAGAACCATAAGAAAAAAAAAAAAAAAAAAACAGTAGAATAAAGAGCGACGGTTGACCCTGACCCGATTTTCGAAGTTCTTCAGCCCGTGCTTCTGAGCCGTGGTCGTGTAGTCCCAGTCCAGGTCGTGGCCGGGGAGGAAGAAGAAGGGCACGAAGGCAGGAATGAAGGTTTCGGCTGCAGGAGGACCGCCCGCCTCCACCACCAGCACGCGCCAGCCCTCCACCTCGGATAACCTGGACGCCATGACACTTCCGGCACTCCCGGCGCCGACTGCAAGGGCGGGAAAGGCGGCCATTTTGGATTTCGTGATTGAGAGAGGCTTTGGGAAGCGAGGAGGAAAATGAAGATAAAATGGAAGGAAAACAAGTATGTAAAGAAGAAGAAAAAAGCGAGGAAGAGGAAACGAGATAAGAGAGACGGACGACAATGGGACAGGCGGCCATTTTGGATTTCGTGATTGAGAGAGACTTGGGAAGCGAAGAGGAAAATGAAGATAAAATGGAAGGAAAATAAATATGTAAAGAAGAAGAAAAAAGCGAGGAAGAGGGAACGAAATAAGAGAGACGGACGACAATGGGACAGGCGGCCATTTTGGATTTCGTGATTGAGAGAGACTTTTGGGAAGCGAAGAGGAAAATGAAGATAAAATGGAAGGAAAACAAATATGTAAAGAAGAAGAAAAAAGCGAGGAAGAGGAAACGAGATAAGAGAGACGGACGACAATGGGACAGGCGGCCATTTTGGATTTCGTGATTGAGACAGACTTTGGGAAGCGAGGAGGAAAATGAAGATAAAATGGAAGGAAAACAGAAATGCGTAAAAAAAAGACAGAGGAAAAGAGATAAGAGACGGACGACAATGGAAAAGACGGCCATTTTTGGTAATCATCGCGAAACTCGGAGAAGGGAGAAGGAAAAACGAAGATAAAGCAGAGGAAAATAAAAATACCAAGAAGCTAGGCAGAATGAGGGTGAAGAGGAAGAGAGCCGAGAAAGACAGAGAAACCAAATCAGAGAGAGAGAAGAAAAAAAAAAAAAACAAGACAAATAGTAAGCAACTCATAAAAGACAAAATACATACGTTTTCTGTTTTATAAGCAGAGATAGAGGTAATTGATGAGGTTAGTAAGGAAAAAAGTAAATATTTACGAGTAATTTATCTCTTACTTCAAAATAATTTTTATGAGATCACCAAATTGCCAAAATTTCCATTTACTGAATTTGTAAACATAGAAAATATAGCTTTACCTCGATTAAAAAGTATAGAATATAGCGAAAGATGATGAAAAAAGTTGTATGAGAATGGCGTATGAATATAGAATTTATCGAAAATAAAATCACAACTCTGTTAAAAGATATGATAATGAATAGATGAAAAAAAATGAATATTGCATCACTTACCGACAGTAAAATCTATTAAAAAGGCTATAATTAATAATAATAGATAAATAGATACAATAAAATTTAATAAACGGATATCTCATCTCTTGCCGACAATAATAGATAGATAAATTAAATAGAAATAATAATATAGATAGATAGACAATAATAGATAGCTAGATAGCTAAATTAGAAATAAAAATAAATATCTCATCACTTAGATAGATAAAATAGAAATAAAAAACGAATATAGCATCACTTCCCAACAATAATAGATAAATAGGTAAATGAAATAGAAATAAAAATAAACATCTTGTCACTTACCGACAATAGATAGATAAATAAAATAGAAATGAAAACGAATATAGCATCACTTACCGACAATAATAGATAGATAAAATAAAAATAAAGATAAAAAAAGAATATAGCATCACTTACCGACAATAATAGATACATAAATGGAATTAAAAAAGAAAAAATATATATATAGCATCACTTACCGATAATGATAGATAGATAGATAAATAAAAAGAATATATATAGCATCACTTACTGACATTAATAGATAGATAAATGGACATCGACAATAATAGATAGATAGATAAATAATAATAATAAGAAAAAAAAAATATATATATATATATATATATATATATATATATATATATATATATATATATATATATATATATATATATATATATATATATATATATATATATATATATATATATAGCAATCACTCACCGACAATAATAGATAGATAAATATAATAATATAATAATATATATATATATATATATATATATATATATGTATGTATATAGCATCACTCACCGACAATAATAGATAGATAAATGGACACCGACAATAATAGATAGATAGATAAATAATTAAAAAATAAAAAAATTAAAAAATGAATAAATAAATAAATATATATATATATATATATATATATATATATATATATATATATATATATATATATATATACATATACATACATACATACATACACACACACACACACACACACACACACACACACACACACACAACACACACACACACACACCACACACCACACACACACACACACACACACACACACACACACACACACACAGAGCATCATCACCGACAATGAAGTCATAGGCGTCGTGCAGGGTCCGCTGAGCGAGTAGTCCCCCTTCTCGCCGGCCTCTCGAACGACCGCCAGCAGGACGAGGCGCAGGAGGGGCAGGGTCACCGCCGTCAGGAACCGAACGAACGAATTCCCGATGAAGTTGATCATTCTGGCTCCTGTAGGGGGGGGGGGGAGTTTTTTTATGAAAAGGGGGGTTGGAGGTTTTTTTTTTTTTTTTTTTTTTTTCTTGTCTTTTTTTACTTATCTTTTTTTTTTTTTTTTTTTTTTTTACTTATCTGTCTTTTTTTTTCACTTCTGACCTTTTTTTGTTACTTATTTGTCTTTTTTTTTCTTTTTTTTTTACATATCTGTCTTTATTTTCTTTTT